TGTTCTGTATTCCTGAGGCCGTGTTGCAAGATTGTTGCTCCTTTAATTATTCTCTCATATTAAAGGATCAAAGGTCTCTGCCACAGTCATCCCCCTGCATTTCATTAGTGTGTGCGCGCCGCTCGGCAACATGGGGACACATCTGCAGGATATTGGCTTTGCGGAGTTCCTGGATTTGTATGGCAGTGTTCAGTGATTATTAAGGGATAAATGTTGGCATTTCTACTGAAGACCCAAGCTTGTTATTTTGGCTTCAGCTCCTTATCAACCGTGAGCTTGCAACAGTCCTTGGTGCAGTGGCAGAAGGGATGAAGTGTGTCCTGCGGATGTTTGTGTGAGTTTCTATTTTACCACTCTGCCTTTGCTCTGGCAAACTGCACGTAACCAGTACCTCTTTGCCACATCCAGAGGATTCTCCCTCTGCCAGGCTGCACCAACACACCCCTCCCCGACACCCACAGCCTCTCAAAGCTTCTCCCGTGATGCCCCACTGCTGTCACGGCTGTGTCGCTTGGAGTCTGCCAGGAGGAGGAGGGTGCTGAGTGTAATTAGGGCGTTCCCAGGCCTACCAGGTCCAGAGAGGAGGAAAAGGAAAGAAGGAAGGAAGGAAAGGGAAGAGAGAGGAAGGAGAGGGATGACAGGTTGACATGAGTACAGCACACACCGACTGTAATTGCTGGCGTGCATATGGCACGGGCTAAGGGTGGAGGCTTGTGGGAGGTAGGGGGTCAGGTAATATAAGAATGTGCAGTCTCTGAAAGCAACAGATGGAGAATGAGTGCATGTCACCCAACATGGGGAGGAGGGTAGACGAGAGAGTAGACGGAGTAGGGAGGAAGAAGAGGGTGAGAGGGGGATTCAGAGAGGGGTTTTTAGGTGAGGGATGGGAGAGAAGAGAACCTGAAGAGGGAATCTTGGAGTGAGTGGCATGTATAGCAGAGAGTGCAGCATATTGACACAGCACGGGCCTATTATTGAATGCACACACACACACAGTTCAACAGGAAACCTTTCTCTGCCTGAGGTGTCTTAAAAAGCTCCACAGGTGGTTAGAAGAGGAAAAGATTGTCTTTGTATTTATGCACCAGAGTGTGTGTCTACATTGGCTTGCAGGTTTTTCTGTTCGTCTTGCCACAAAAACCAAGCACCTTTTGTGCTGTAATTAGTGCAGGAAGGTAATGGAGCTATTGGACAGGCGTCGACATCTACTCACACAAGCACACACACAGTGTCAGAAGGGGTATTGACCAGGCAAAGTCGCTTTTGTGGGTCCTGAGCGAGGAATCTTGATCGATCGGGTCCTGTCTTTTTTTTGATGGATCATCAATTTCCACATGGTGGCAGGAAGTGGCCTCTGTAAGGCTCGTCTCTGGGATCTCACTCATCCCAAACACACACACACTTTAACACACATTAGGGCTGAGGGGTGATGCTGTGTATGTCAGGGTATTCAAAGTGGGAAAGATATTGCTTTGAACACTGAAACTTAATCTTATTGTGAATAAGTATCTCAAAAAATATTAAACTTATCCAACAGGATGCCCCTTTATACCAGATTTCTGACCAACACATGCAATCTAATCGCTTTGGAAATGTCTTCAGTAGACGCAGATGATTGCAGAAGATGATGTGTTATTTTCACCAGTCATGATCCAAGCTGCAGACGAGAGATGGGTACTCTCATCTCTGACGGGCTAAAATATACTGCTCAAAAAAATAAAGGGAACATTTCACTTTAATTTTGAGTGTGGCTCCAAATCCAGGCCTCCATTGGTTAATAAATTTGATTTCCATTGATGATTTTTGTGTGATTTTGTTGTCAGCATATTCAACTTTGTACAGAACAAAGTATTCAATGAGAATCTTTCATTCATTCAGATCTAAGATGTGTTATTTGAGTGTTCCCTTTATTTTTTTGAGCAGTGTACAAACATAAAGTAGCATAATGCAAATTTTCCAACTCAAGCTCCGGCAGCCATGAGACCTGACTGCTGCTCACAGTGTGGGACTGTAGTCTTTTAAAGAATCTGTTTCTCTCGTATCAAACATTTCCTTCTCATTCTGGAATGCTGGTATTATTACAATCAGATGTATCTGACTCTTCAAAATAAAAGAACTGGCTGTTTGATTTATTAAAATAAACTACTGGTTCTATTTCTATGTTTTTATTGAATGTTAATAGTCTCAAATGTTTGACATAATGTTGTACCAAAGATAAAGATATGAAATATTAATAAGTGAATTAGGTCAGAGCATAATGTCTGTTTCCATACGGTGCAGCAGCATGCCTTTAATGAAACGATGCCGAGTTCCTTTTCAGAGACGGAGTCTCTCTGGGAGCTTGACGTGGATTTGAGAAAAATGACTCGTGAACATGTCCGACTCTAAAGCAAGCTTACATGATGGCCCTTCTGCTCCACGATTCTACTGAGATATTCGCAACAAGTTTCAGGAGGGGAAAACCTTCATCTCTTTCAGCTTTTTTTTTTTTTTTTTTTTTTCTGTTTTAGTCATGGTCCCAGAAAGTCTCGTGTCATTTCTCCTCTCATTGCTCCATCCATCTTTGGTGCACTGTAAACGTACTGGACCATCTCAGACTCCTGCTTCCCTTGATATCTATCCGCTCCACTTCTGCTTTCATCAGTTGCTCCGAGTACCTCTTCCTGCTGCTGCTCTGCACTCATTTTTCCGTGCTGCTTATTCTTTTGCTCTCTCCTTTGTTCGCCTACTTAACTTAAGAGCGATCTGCTGTGCACCACCACCTCCACCTCTCTCCCCCTCCCAAACTCTACGCTCATCTTCCCTCCCATGTTCCTCTTCAGTGAGCCCCAGCACTCCTCTTCCTCTCTCCTCCGGTCTGTCACCCCTCTATAAAGACTCCCACTGACGGATCTGAACCTTCTGCTCGAGCCACATTCTGCCCCTCATTCTTCTCTCTTGCTGCTCCATGAGAAGAGGAGGCCAATTAAAGTCCGTCTTCTCTCCTCCTCCATGCCGTTGTTCTGCGCGCCGAGTGTCTGCACTCAGACTCTCTGGGGTCACTAATTAAAACGCTTTCTTTTCTCTTTACTCCACTTTATTCACCTATTCATCCAACTTTTTTTTTTCCTTTGCCATAGTTTTTCTCTTTACGGCTCTTCATCCGTCTTCTGTCACAAGTCTCGAGTTTCTGATTCCTGTCGGAAAATTTTGGAATTGTACTTAGAAATTTTCCGAATCTACATATTTACAGAAAAAGGGAAAAAAAAAGAAAAAAAAAGAAAAAGTGAGTCTCTTATTCCAGTATGTAGTATCTTTCATCTTTTCTTGTGTCCTTCCACAAGTGCATTCTTTGTGCCCACCTTTCTTTACTTGTATCCTTTAACTATTCCATCCTTGTCTTCCTCTGTCTTTTATTTCTTGCCTTTGATTCTTTCCTCCTACGTTCTCTTGTGGTTTTCTTTATTTACTTCCTAGTGTAGTTTCACCCTTTTGTCCCGTGTCCTTCCCTTTTCGCCGTATGTCTTGCTCTACCTCCTTCTGCCTTCCTGTACTTCCTACTGTCCTTACACACTTTCTTGTCTCTTTACTTCACTAATTCATTCCTGGTGTTCTTCCTTCCTTGCATACTTCCTAATATGCTTTCCACTGGCCTTCTTTGGTCCCTTTTGCCTTTGTCCTTTGCCCCCTCTTCCCTCACTTCTTCCCTTGTGTCCTTACTTCCAAGCTTTTTCCTTGTCCTTTCTCTCTTCCTTCATTCTGTCCTTTAAATTTCTATTTTTTCTTTTTTTTCCCCATTCTGCTTTTTCATTCTTTACTTTTTTATTTTTTCCATGAGTCTTTCCTTCCATCATTCACTCCTTGCCCTTAGTGTCATTTCCAGTGCTTTACTTTTTCCCTTATTTTTCGTCCTTTTTTCATTCCTTACCTCCTTCCTTTTCCTCTAATTTTTCCTTCCTTCCTTATTTCTTTTCTCCCTTCCTCCATCCTTTTATAATTTCTTATGCCCTTCCTGTCTTTGGCTTTTGCAGTTAATTTTTTTTTTTCTGCCTTGTGTAGCTCTTCATATGAAATTATAATATTAAAGATCAATTAACTTACACCGTCATCATACATTGCACATACCATGAAAACATTTTCCTCCTGTGGATTAAACACAAGCATACAACCAAACAACTGCCAGAGCAAGACGGCTACATGAGCCTGTGCCGCCATCGCCATTGTGTTGACATAAAACACTGTTTGTGGTGAAATGAGTGAAATTGGCAGACGGCTCTGGAAATTAGAGTCTGGAAAAGTCTGGACTTTTTCCATGAAAACATGCAGAAACCCTGTTGTTTTTTGTTTTTTTTTTCTTCTCCACAGCTGTTCACAGTATTTAATAACATATTTACATGTAATCCACCCACTCCCCTCCTGTTTCTTATATTACTTTGTACATGGGTAGCTCTTTATACTCAAGCTGACAGGAAGTCAGAACCCTCAGTCTGAAGGAGCATACATTATGCAGCTCCTCTGTTCTAATGATGCTGTCTTGTCCAAAGTTGTTGTTGTGCCAAAAGCTAGTCAGCCTTGACTGACTCCACTGTGTACGCGCACGCACATTTGTTTAGGCCCGTGCACGGCAGTGTGTGCTTGCATCGCATTGTAGAAGGTGAAAAGGGAGTGAGTGGAGTTTATTTCACACTCGTCTCCCCTCAGTGGTGTAATTAGCATACGGAAAATTGTTTTTCCTCATATCTCTACCAGAGCAGCTCTCCCTCGCTGGTCTGGGAATAAAAATGGAGTTGTGAATACGTAAAATTCCCCCAAAATTTTATGTAAAACTGTTGGTTTTTTTTTTTATGCGTGCCAAACTTTTCCTTTGTCGTCCGCATTTATTACGTTATTGACTAACAATCGGTCTTCTGAAATTACACATGTTCCTCCAGGCACCACTCATGTTTAATCACCACCGCTGTCTCCAATCACTCTGTAATTGTTCGGTGAAATATTAATGTCCCCGTCGTTCTTTCTTCCAGGTTGACGGCGGGAAATCTCTCTGTCCAGTTGAATCTCAATGACTACCTGGACATCTACTGCCCCAGCTACCCCGAATCAGGGAGTTTGGTTCCGGAGCAGCCAGAGACTCTGGTCCTCTACCTGGTGGAGGAGGAGGCTTTCAAAGGCTGCGTGGAAACCAAAAAGGCCGTCAAGAGGTGGGAATGCAACACCCCGTTTGCTCCGTTTGGACCGGTCCGCTTCTCTGAAAAGATCCAAAGGTTCACCCCGTTCTCGCTTGGCTTTGAATTCCTGCCGGGGAGACACTACACCTACAGCTGTAAGTAGAGGCAGGAGGAGGGTCTCACGTTGTCAAGTGAACTTAAACGGTTGACATGTCTGAAAGAGAATTGTGCTTGAAAATATGTGTTTTTCCTTTATGTCCCACAACCTTAGGTAAATAAATTATTACTTTTTAATTGTTTTAGAGCTAAAAGCACTGAAATGTGTGCTGTTCATTTGTTTTGCAAACCCACTTTCACTGTATTTACAACTGCTGATCTTTTGGGGTTTTATCAAAACCATCATCTCTCTCTGGGTATAGAAAGGTTTATATTCCTCAGATTTACCCTGCATATCTTAGGTCTGTCTTTCTGACTTTTCTTTTCTGCTTTTATGTCATTATTCCCATTTTTTCTTGTATTTCATGTTTTGTTTTGTTTTGTTTTGTTTTGGGGGGTTTTTTTTACTCTATTTGTGTGGAGAGCACTTTAAAAATTATCCTTTGCAGAAAAGTAGATGCATAACTCCATTCAGCTCTGATCAGCTTCCCTTCACCGATAAAACTGTAGATAGTTTAATGCTATCACTGTTCAGTTTGCATCTTCTGACATCAACCCATCATGGTGTGATTGGAATTTTTATAAGATCTGGAGCTGGAAAACTGCGGTTTATGTCATTTATGTTTTATATAAATTCTCACTGAGTGACATGAATGTGATGTTTTCCTAAACCAGCAGGGTGTCACACCTGATGGTTTCTCCACAACATCCTTCTTGTCTCTCCTCACTTATTTATAATCTTGTGAAGTAAGGGGGAGAAAGGAGATGCACAAGTTATTCCAGTGGTTGTAATTTTTTATTTTTTGGGTGAAGAACTTAGAAAAAGGAGGAGGAGTACATAAGACAACAATGCAGGTCCTGAAAGAGTCAGAAAAAATGCATGGCATCGATGGGTAACAAATAACGAAGCAGAGGGATGGGAGAGTGAAAAAGAAAGATGGCAATCAATACGCGATGATGGCAGCGGAGGAACGAAAACAAGGGGAGAAAAGTGATAGAAGACGAGAGGGAAACTCAGAGCTGTGACGTTACTGTAATGGAGGAGTGGAAAAGGGATGAGAAGAATCCACCTTGGAGAGAGAGAAACAGAAGTACAACAAAAGCATTGGAGAAGAGGGACGTAGGAAGAGAGGGAATCTTTACATAAATTACTGTTGGGGTTCACAGGACAATGGCGTATTGTGAAGGCATGAGAGAGTGGCTTCACACACACACATGCATACATGCACACTGGGCCATTGTCGGTGTTCATGCCAGTTCATAGAAAAGCAACAATAGGTCCCCCCCCCTCCGGTCAGGCTGCAGCAGGCTCAGGGCGATTGTGTGCGTTTTGTCCACATCAAAGATAAGGCGTAAAGTTGGTCCAAATGTCTGGCTCTGGGGTTTTTGCTCATAATGGCTCTGCAGCCCTGAAGCTGCATAATGGGGTTAGCCTGGGTTGACAGTACAATGATATTAGAGACACTAATGGCATTAGTTTGTTCAGTCTGAGCTGATCTCAGCCCTTCTGTGCCAAAAGACTATGACACTTTTACAGCCCAATGTCACAGTTTCCAATGAGTTGACAGAAACCCACAAGTTCTCCATGTCTGGGTCACCAAAAAACAGGAAACAGCTTGAGGTCCTCTGCTGGTCAGCTGTTCACTGCATCGAACGACTTCAGAGAACAGTAAGGATAGCAAGAGAGCTCAGTTCATTGAATGGTCAAATCGGTTTGTACGTATATATGGCACCAATTAACCACCATGGCATGTCATGCAAGACAAACGAGTCCAATATATAGAGATGCATCTTGATGAAACGAAACGCTATGGAAAAGTAATTTACTTCCTTTTTAACAGCAACCTTTAGCTCTTCTGCATTGTTGGCTCTGGATTGTTTCATCTTGCTATTGAGAAAACCTCAGAGATCCTAAGTGAGGTTTGATCCAAGCCAAGTGAGGCACAGCGATGCCATAAGTCAGTAACACAGTTGTCGGTACTTCTGGAAGTGTTGGCAGGTGCAAAGCTCTGCTGAAAAATTAAATCACCATCCCCATAAAGTTTATCAGCAGATGGAGACATAAAGTGCTTCATGAACTGACAACAGCAGCTATAAAACGGTCTCTCTGACTGTGAAAAGTCCACACTGGGCACCTCTGCACGTTTAATCTAGACACCAGGACTTTGATTTAAAAAAAAAAAAAAAAAAAAACATTTTCATAAATTGATTAAAATAAAAAAAAAAAAAAAAAGATCAGCTGGTTGCATTGAAACTTTCCTCATTATAATCCTTAGTCCTAAATAAGCAGTGGGTGCCAGCAATGAAAAACAGCTATTTTTTAACATGAAGAAACTTGCAGCAGCAACAGTATAGAATATATATATATATATGTGCATAAAAACAGGCTAAAACATGTCATTTTCAATGTTTAAAAGTGTTTTTCCTAGTACAAACACTTTAACAAGAACACACAGGTAGGTCTATTTGATTTTAGAGTATTATGCACAATCCAGAACTCCAGTAAAAGATAAGTGCACCTCTTCTCAAAGCACTTGAAGTTATTTGCTGATGGTATGAGCTCTGAAATGTCTGTGAAGCCCTGAAAAAATGTTAGATTATTTGATTATGACGCAAAATTAAACAATCTGGTGACTACAAAAGCACATTTATGTCATTGGTTTTTATTATAGTTGAAGTGTCTCTGCTGTAAGTGCTTGGTTTCAGTGATGCAGTCTTATTCAGGCTGACAGTAGGGGTCCCGCTGTGGCTTTCTGGGCTATTTAAACTTAAGCAATTGTAAAGTTGCAGAAGGTTTTCAATTAACGCTCTTAGATTTCAATATGCAGTATCTTGTAAAGGAAAAGGCCAGGATGGAAAAGATAGAAGGGTACAGGCATCAGGAGCGCCACATGTTCTGGTGTCATGCATAAATTTATGAGTGTGGCTTTAAATAATTGGGAGAAATGTCTAATATTTACAGCCGTGCATAAAAGTGATTCCCAATGTGCTGTCAGAAGTGTCTGCAGCTTTCAGTGCGTCATTCCTGGCGACTGATGTAACTGAGAAGGAGCCGGTTTTTGTAGAGGTTACTCAGGGTGGATCCTGCAGGTCACAGCAGGAAAGGCTGCTGTTTGACTTCAGGCAGAAGTTGCATTTAAGCCACAAAGAAGGGGCATGACATGGCTTTGCAAATCAAATTGATCAGATCTTCACTTTTTGATTAAATAAACTCGCGTAAGTGGTGTGTGTCGGAGAAGGACCCATCTCATCAATTATCTCTGTGTGAATCCGTTGTCATCTGCGAGTCTAATAGCTTGCAGAGATTTTCTCTGTTATTAAATATAATTACTCGAGAGACGGAAGGATGTTGGAAAACCTATGCCTTCCACGTGTAGCTTTTTGTTGCTCAAACTCCACGTGCACGCCACCTTTCTCCTGAGCTTCTTTGAGGCTTTATAAAGAATCTGAACCATTTTCATGTGGATCCCCTGAGGCTGATATTCGTACTATTTGGGTTCAGTTAGTGGTACTGGATGGGCCACAAACATATTTTTGTAAGCTAGTTTAAGTTCTTTGTATGAACTTGTTCTATAATTGCACAATATAATGAATCACACCATCTGAAAGTGTATATGTGCATTGCCTCAATCAAATAGCACTGCTTAGCTACAATACTTGGTAGGCTCTTATATTTCAACGTGTAAGGGTAATTTTATTTATATAGCAAATTTTCAGCAACAAGGCAGTTCAAAGTTCTTTACATGAATTAGAAGAAAATACAAACAACAACAACTAAAAACAAAGCCAAGAGACTAAAAGGTAAGGGTAGAAACAAAAAAAGCTAAATGTTGGTTCACGGTGTTTGATTCTTGTTCTGGGATGCTAAGTACTCCACAATTTATAAACTAACAAGAGTTTCTCCAGGTCTTGCTCCGATCTTTAATTAGAAAGTAATAGGTACTCCATAATCCTTAATGTAACAGGAGTTTCTCAATTAGTGAGGTATAAAACTAAATATTGGTTCCATGTGTATGTTATCCAAGGCTTCGGGCTCTGGTAGACAATTTGATCTAGGAAAGGAGTCAACATAAGAGTAAATCAAACGCCTCAATAAAAATAGTGGGGTTTGAAAACAAATGTGGGTTTGATTTATTATCAAACCCCACCTTGAAAAGGTAGATGGGAATGAAGCTGGGAAAATTTACCCTGCAAACTCTGTTAAGCCTTGGTTCCTGTGGAGGGAGTGAAGGTAGGAAGAACAGGAAGTGGATCCAGAACGGTTTGCAGTAATGCAGGTGGAACTGAAGCTCATCATTTTTACACGGTTATGAGATATGGATCATAAGCAAAAGAGTGAGATCCTGGATGCAAAAGGTTAAAATTAGCTTTTTTTTTTTTTTTTTTTTTTTTGTGCATTGTCCGCGCTTTGACTTGAAGAGCCGACATCTTGAGGGCGCTCAGAGTAACGTTGCTGCTCCTCAAAGGAGCTGGGTAACTGGGAGGCACCCTCGTCAGGCATTTGAGGAGGATGCGTTCACATGCGACACCCCGGGGCAGGCCCAGAACACACTGAAGGGACTATCGATCTCATCTGGATTTTAAAACACCTCGAGATCCGCAGAAACAGCTGAAGAATGTTAATGGGGAGAGTGATATGTTGGTTTCCTATTGATAGGTAGAAAATGGATCGCTGGCTAGATGGTGTAAGCTATCCACACTCAGGTATCATAAATGTCAGAATGATTGTGGCAAGAAAAACTTTGATGATGTTGTGGTTTTTAATACATAGTTGCAGTGCAACATTTGTAGAGAAATGGCTTATTTGATGTGTTTATATATTTACACAATTCTTTTTGTGTATGGCTCAGATTGATAGATTCACAAACAAAAGATGGTGATGAATTCTTTAATTACATTTTATCCTCACTTCTCTTGGTACTGCCACAAATACCACAACATATTGTAGTTAGATTTTAATTCCACATCGCTCCTCCCTGCTTACCAGTTAGATGTCCTTCATCCAAATAAACAAGTGATATATGGATGTTGAACCTAGTTTGTATTCATGAAAAGCTTGATTTCTTCACATTTTGATCCACAAAAAAAAAAAAAAAACATTTTCAAAGTCACCAAACTGCGTAGAAAGCGATGCCGTTGTAGTAGCTTTAGTCGTCAGGATTTAAAAGCTTTTTTTTAAAAAAAAGAAAGAAAAGTAAAGGAACAAACCCTTTTCGAGCTTTGACAGTATTGCACAATATCATGTGCTTCTAACATGTTGCAGCATATTTCAACGGTTATTCCAGCTAACGTCACTAACATAAGTTTATCAGAAAAGCACATTGTGTGGAGAGGTGCGTGTTCTAGTCGTAGACCGACCGCCTCATATAAGGAGGCTATTCGGCCTCAATGCAACCGTCTGGATTTGATTCCTGACCTTGGGGATGACCTTTTGTTGCATGTCATCCCCTCTTGTCTTTGTCTGCCTATTTCCTGTTTGAATACTGTGAATTGTAGACACTAGTATCACAAAATCATTTTTTTTCTTTAACAGAGAATTGCAAAACTTTCAATTAAGGCACCTTTTCTAATCATTAAACACCAAACATGGTATCATGCAAATTTATCCCTTGAATATTGTGCTCTAATAGTGTTTTTGTATTTTGAACTACTTTACATATCTGGAGTCATCCTGATGGTTGACAAATTATCTGGAGTGTTTCTTATTACGCGTCTCTGAGTTAGCAGCTGCTTGAGAATAGTTTTAAGACAAAACACATTAACTGGGGGTTTCATACAAATTTGCTTACCAAAAGCAACAATGCGGTGACAGGTAAAGCATCTATTAGGATCCTTTTATTCCCGAGTGAGCCATGATCAGCATCGATATGGGGAGCAGCTCCTCTCTAATGGTGGCACATCTCTGTAGTGCATTTCGTTGTTTTTACTTAGCCAAGAGGATAAGTGCGATATTTGGTGTGCAACAGAAAGATGATGTAAATCCTTGCTCGGATAATGTTGAAGTGGGAAAACTCGTCGTCTGCTCTTAAGCTTTCCTGCACGCAATGTATTTGTAGCAAGAGATCCTTTAAATAGACTTTCTGGAATCATTTTTGCTCCGTGCAAGAATTTATTTCTTTTAATATTCCACATGTGGGCTGAATTCAGAACTGTTTGTTGGGTTTGATGAGTAAGTAGCTTATTTACACCTTATTTTGACTCTTGTTCTCTGCAGCTCTGCCGACAGATGAAGGCCCTCCTCTGCCATGCATGAAGATGCGTGTCACAGTATGCTGTGAGCCCAGTGAGTACACTCATCCTTTCATCTGTTCTTTTATGCTTTCCTCTTTGTACACCAGCAGACTCTTCTTTCTGCCTCTCGCATCTCTACTATCATGTCTGGGAGTATAGAATGATGTTCAGACTGCCACTCACTACTGAGCTTTTTGCTGCTTTCTATCTTTAACCTTGTAGTATTCTTTTTTTTCCCCTAAATGAAAACTACTATGAAGTTAACTCTTTGCTGAGCATTGGTTACTTTCCTGTATCAATCCACACCAAGTTACAGCTTTAAAAAAAAAATCAATTTTTGAAATGCCTAAACTTTTCCACTATACCATATTTATGATTTAAGTTATTTTAACTTGATGAGCAAAAACTAGTAGCTGGAGTTTCTGCAGCTGCAAAACTGTTTCCCTTTTTTTTTCTTGCGACAAAGTCAAATTTGTCAATTTGGAAGTATTTGCAGCTGAAGGAAGCAAACAGTCATGGTGTGGGAACTAAACTGTTTTTAAGATAACTCAGTTTTGATTGTATTATTGTAGTACAGCAGCCTGTTATGAACATGACTGCAGGTTGGCTACCTCAGCAGATAGCCTGACTAATTTACTAGTCAATATCAGCTGTAAATATATCAGATAAATAGAATCTATAAGTAGCAGAATGCCAAAAAAAAATGTGAGCTGTAAATTTTTACTCAATAAAGCTTCAGTTTTTTTTATTATAATGATATTACCCAGGTCTATGTATCGGAATCAAAAATATAATGTTATAACTGAATGTACTTGTTAGTTTTACAACGGCTGGAACAGGTGATGTTTGTCTTAAAGCAGATTTGTTCAAAACATTATGAGCATAAGCCCATATAGCATTTCCATCATGCCTAGTCTGCATTTAGAACAAATTAAATTAATATTTTGTTATGGGTTTTTTGAGCATCACATTTATTTAAATCTTATCCAACCAGTGGTCTTTCTTTTTTCTACCTGCTTGTCATCCTCATTCACCCACTCCCCATCGCCCTTTCTCAGTGTGAAATTCCCAGAGTTGATCTAATCCAGAGCCCGCCTGGAGTAATGTTAGTCTTCCAGTCCAGTGAGCTGCCCATTCCGGTTGGGAATGTTGCCCAGTCACTGTGGGAATCCCTGTACGGTGCTCGGTGTGTGTGTGTGTGTGTGTGTGCGTGGACCATTTTTCTTTCTGTTGCTGTTGCTACGCTTTGTGTGTGCGAGTCTATGGGCCTTTGCGTGCGATCTTTGGCAGTTGGACTCGTATCCGAGTGTGTATGTAGCATCGCATGCGTGTCTGAGACGTCTGTCCCAGTTCCCATCCCTGTGTTGTCTGCAGGGGGGCTTGTTGTGTTGTCCCAGACTGAACTAACGCACTTTTTTCTGTCTCTCTCACTTCAGTGAAACTGGCTGGAAAGTTGTTTAACAAACAGATATAGTTTAAATAAATGAGGGAAGAAAATGCAAACTGTGAAAAAAATAAACCTCCTTTCACCTCGAATTTGGGGGTAATGATAGAGCAACCTCCTTTAGGTTCATGAGACCAAACACAAAAATTGGTCTGATCGGAACAAGCTGACAATTTAGCAAAATATTTCAGGAAATAAAAATAATATTTAGTTTTACAAGTAGAATAAAGATCAACAGTGTCACTTTGCAGTAAATAATCTAAATTAGTATACAATATACTTACTGTATGTTGTGGTATTTACTCTCATCTTTATTCCAAGTTCACCGATATTTTTTTGTTTTGAATTTACAGTTTAAATATGTAGCTAAACGATATCGGTAGGTAATCCTGATAGGGACAGCAAATGATGGCAAATGCCAACTTTCCCATTGATGATTTAAATAATTAAGCTTTAGCTAACATTAATAGGGATGTAGAATACGTCCTGGTTATGAGAACAATAGGAAATTTGACCTAAATTTTAGTGAGATTGTAAAACCCCAACTTTATCATTTTCAATTATAGTTGGATACAAACTGGAGAAAATGATTAATTTATCTTGCATTGAATGTGAACCAGAAAAGATTTTAGCCATAATTTTTGGGTAAACAATTAAATTTTTACAGTAAACGTTTTGCTAATCCCAACCTGCGTTTCAAAGAGAGTAATCGGCATCTCGCTCAGATTTGATCAGTCCAAATATTGTATTCATGCTTGTCTAATTCTACAGTGGCCCTAATGCCCAACAAAGCTTAGAAAGTGTAGTAATTTTGTTTTCACAAATCTCACTGGCAGAAGTTCGATCAGTGTGAGTCAGCTTTAGCATAATTATTGGATAATCTCTCACAGTGCTTTCTTTGTCTCATCTACTTCTCTGTCATTTCGTTTAAGCCCAAATTCTGCCAGACTCACGTTTTGGAGGCTTCTTCGTTGCTTTTGTAACCGACTGTTGTCAGGCAGCCTAGCGCCAACTTTACCTTCACTAGTGACGAACTATTAGCTAGTGTGTGAAATCTGAAAGTGCTGACACATCTTATCTGTGACTGTCACCTTATCTTATTTCAGAAAAGTACCCCAGTTGCTACCGGATAGTTGCTATTTAAATGTGGCTCAGGGCTCTTGGGGGGCTTTCGTAGCTAAGAGTTGTCAGAGTTGCTCATCGGCATCTTTATTAGCGGACAGGACAAGAACGAACTTCCTTCTTTGCAATTCAAAATCAGCTTTATTAATTAGTTACCAAGCTTAAAGCCTGGATACAAATATCCATGGCTGTAGAAGTTTAGATTTTGATTTTCCTCCCGAAGAAGCTGAGAAATGGCTACTCTGCTGCAGTGTTGTGATTGTTAATATTTGATTTTTATTTCGTTTGGCACAGTTTCTTCTTCTACCATTCACCAAAAATGCTCCTATACATTTTTTAAAGGTGGCGACGGTGTGGTGCAGCAGGCGCCCCATATTCAGAGGCAATTAGACCTCGACAGCTATCCCAGGTTCAGTCCCAAACTTCCGGGACCTTCGCTGCATGTCCTCCCACATTCCATCTCTGACATTTTCTTGCCTGGATAATGTGGATAACGACAACTAGTGGCACACAATCTCTGACAAAGAAAAGAAAAGTAGTGAACACTTTTTCAGTGCCGTTGTATCCGAGTGTTGTCAGGGTGCCAGATGGCAACTTTTGTGTTCTTGGCAGCTAGTTGGTCTCATTGAGCTTACTGTGTCGTATCATTTCTGTCACTTTGTCACAAATTGTTTTTGTTTTTTTTTCCACAAAGGAACCAGAATACTGCCAGATAACGATTTAAAAGTGTGTTATCGGGCAGCCTGACAACTTTTGTCCTGACTGACTTCATCAACACAACAGGGCAGCAACTCAAGAACCACTTTAATTCTTCAAATTTTGAGTCTTGGCATAAACTTATTTCACGAGAGACACAAACAGACAGCAACTGCGTGACAAATCGCGAGACACACTTCGACAAGAAACGAGATTGCGCCATGTCCTTAATCTCGAATAAACTCCGAAATGGTCATCACAGGCGCGACGTCAGTCGGGAGGTAATTTGCTACTTTATTACCAGAGTAAAATCTGAAGGATTTTTTATTATTTTTTTTTTTTTAAAGTTTGTTAATTATCTGGCTCCCATTAATTACAACTACATCAGATAGCTCACTTCTCTGAGGAAAGGCTAATGTATTCCTGACCTTCTGACTGTATTCCCCAATCAGCTCATCTGTGCCAAAAATAATAAAGAAATTGTAGAAATCACTCGAGTTCTGCATTCTTAGCACAGCATGCACACATGCATTTCATTTTCAGTTCTAAAATCACTTTGACTTCAGAGCAGAAACAGTTCTACCTACAAAGACATGCACACATCTGGGTTCTGTTTCCTTGCCTCATCTCTTTTTTCTTCCTTCTGCCTCTCATCCTATTCCTTAACCAAAACTAATCCCGACTAAATTTCAGGATCTGCGTCTCCTTGTCTTTTAACTCCCCACCTCCCTTCCACCCACCTCCTCCTCATCTCCAACCTCCTCGCTTTCATTCTTTCTTCACTCTTCTGTCATTCTTGAAGTGGCACTAATCCCCCCCTTCTCTCTGTCTCTTCAGCTCTCTCCTCCCTTCCTCGTTTTTTTATGATCTTTCGCTACTGGAGCAAAACTAATCTAGGCCCCATCCGTAGCAAGTCTTTCAGACATCCTCCTCCGTGCCCTCAGACTCCGCCTTGCCACCTTCCTGTTTACACCTTCCCTTTGTCGAACCTCTGCGTCCGCCGTACCGCTTTCCACCAGCTCCCTTTTTCCCTTTTGCCCCGCTTCGCTCCATCTCTGTCGCGCGCCGGCTGTGCGGCGAGCCTCGTTGGGATAAACGTGTACGAGGCCGGCGAGAGGAAAGTGAAGTAGATGGATGAGAGCGGGGATGAAGGAGAGTTGGAGGCGATGTATTGCAGTCTGTCCACTCGCTGTTGTTGTGTTGTTCCCCTGTGGTAAAAGCTCCCGCTTATTCCCTGCTTCCTTCCTGACTTGGTTCCCTTTTATCTGACAGGTAGCATGGCAGCAGGGCATGCCATTAGACGCCTGTGTGGCCGTCAGTGATGGCAGCTCCTGTCCTTCAGCAAACGCCTCTTATCTAGACTTCAAATCGTGCTCCTCCCTTCCTCACTTTTTTTTTTTTTCCATCTTCTTCAAAAACCAGCTTGTATGCATTTCCACTTGGGGATAACTCTGTCGTGAGGGGTTTAAATTAATTAGCGGTTAGTGTGAAGGACAGAGGTGACGATGAGAGAGTCCATCAGGTGTGTTGTCATTGCTCCAAGGTCAGTGAGTTCTAAACCGTCTCTCGATTTCTCTGGTGTTTAATTTGTCAGTAATACAGATGGCGGATTTGTTTCTTTGATTTTTTTATTTTTTTATTTCCTGAAATATCGTGAAGCACGACAGCTTGATGTTTATATGGGAGCGAGTTTGTTTTTTTGTAACGCAATGCTATCACAAATCGCGTTTGGAAAACAAACAAAAAAAACGATGTCTGATAGGTTCTCAAGCTCTTGTTGCATCATAAAAATGAAGCCCCGAATTGTTGTCGTGAAATTTCGGATACCCCACAGCCTTCTATTGCATCTTCCTCAAGCTCGCTTCACCTCCTACTCCATACTTACCTTTTTACTCTGCATCTTCTCCTTAAAACCCCCTCCTGGTGTGTTTATCTCTCTGGCTCCTCGAGTTGCTCTGCCTCTCTCCGGCTTCCTCTTTCCCTGCCGTCCCACTGTGAGAAACCATTACAGACCAACTTCCATCTCTCCCTAATTGATTCCCCTTCCCACTTCGTCTCACTTCCTTTTTTTTTTCTAGTCATTGTCCCGCTGTGAGCAGTCCATTACATTTATTTCAGTTTGCAGAGCGTCACCATTTTGCCTCGCATTCTTTTTCGGGGTGTTTTTTTTTTTTTTTTCGTTTTCTTTTCTTGGGGGGTGCGGTATGGGGGGGTGGCGGATGGTTGCCTTTAATTTCTTGAATCCTTACCCTCCTTCTCACCGCCCTCTGCTCTCATCCAAGTCACTCTTTGTGCGCCTGAAACCCAGTGGACAAAACTCAAACTGAACCTCAAGACCCAAATTTTAGCTTTTTACCGTTTTTAGCGATTTGCGTCTGAAATTCCCCGCTGGTTTTTTATTTCATTTTAATTTTTCCCCACCATTTTTGTATAACGATTTTATTTACGTTAGTTAGCATTAGTGCCTATGTGTGTAAAATGGCGGCACGAGGAGAGGTGGAATGGTGGAACATTGTCTCTGCAGTGGTGCATTCTGCATACACCCACATAAACGCCGCCACACACACACACACACACACACACACACTCACACTCGGAGGCACATGCGCACTTTGCCACGGCTGTCCATGTGCAGTTACACATGCAGCATGCCTCAGACTGCACTGCGGAGAGCGTGCTTTTTTTTTTTTTTTCTGCAGTCACGCCCCCGTGGACTCCATTTTGTGGGAGAGTTCGCCATGACGAAGATGATGATGTTAACACAAAAACGAGAGCCGTCGATGTTCAGCTGTTTGCGCAAATGATGTGATTAAAGCCTGATCAAAACACACACATCACCCACAGCCGAGTAAACGCCAGGCATCTGAAAACGGCAAACTTTGTGTTTTCGACTCGACGGCGAATGAAACGCCCGTTGATTTCACAGCGATTTAATTAAAAACGTAAAGTTACTCAGAAGTTTTAAATTATTAGTTTAATTATAAATCACAACAAATTCTAAAACTTTCCCGGTTTCATTTGTATCACTAATTCCAGACATACGACCTTCAATTTTGTTTTGTTTTTTTTAGTGTGTTTTTTTTTTTTTTATCAAAGTACAAATAAATTCTCTAAAAATTCTACAAATTTTGTTTAGAATTTGTGAGCTTGAGATTTGTTTTGAGTAGAAAAAAATAGAAAAAATTCAAAAGTTAAACATTTTCAACATATTACTTATTTTTTCCCCTTTTTTGTGGAATTTTAATGTAGGAACTGTTTAGTTTGTCTTGTTTTCTTTTCTTTTTTTAAACATTGATAAAGATGCAGTTTCTGTAAAATGTAACTTATTGAATATGGCAATAATGTTTTTACTTGAGATTGTTTGTGGGATACTGTGACTCTGGCTGTTCAGTTTTATATTTAATGTAGTAATTACTTGGCTTTTTTTCTTGCTTATTTTTATATTGTCTTATTTAATCAGTGGCACCGATAAATTGTTGACAGAAGACACATTTATCCAAAGATATTTTTTTTCTTGATTGAAAGTGGTTCAGTTATTGTTGCTTTCAGTGTAAAAATATATTTTTTTTACTATTTTGTCTCAATAATATTCTATTTGTAAACTATGTGATTTTTTTTTATGTTTTGTTTTTGTTTTGTTTTATTTTAAGATGCATCATCAGCTGAAGAATTTAAAAATAAATATTTTTCCCATAATTTCATGTGGTACATGGTGAATACAAATAATGCACATATTTTTTATAAATGTAATGCGTTTTTTTTTTTTTTTTTCTGTTGCTAATTGTATTGATAAATTGTGCAACGTTGACCAACTAAAATATTCACAACTTGTCTGGATTTAGGATTTTTTTAATTGCGTTATAGACGGATTTGTTTTTTTTTTTGTTTTGTTTTGTTTTTTTTTAACAATTGTAACTGTTTTTTCGGCACCGTTTGCTTCACCTTACAAATACTCTTGCTCACATCGATGCACACTTGCACAAGCTCAGTACTAAGGTGTGACATAGCAGGCTATTTAATGCTTCGTTAACCCCTTGATGGGTGTTAGCTATATCAACTTGAGAGTAATTTGGTTTCATGTCGGGCGGAGCCACGTGTTGTTCAGACGCGCTGAGGAAGGCTTATCGGGTTATGGATCAGCGGTTGGTTCTCTGAGGTCATTGATACACACCTTATTTTCCAGGCTACGGCTTTTGAGTGTGTTCGCGTGTGCACGGTTAGGTGTTTGACTTGTGGGTTGTCAAGAGGTGAGTTCAAGGCCACAGATTGATTTAAGAGCCAGTTGTGCCGTCTTATCCGTGCCTTCTGACCCCTCCATCGTTGCTCTTTGGAATATTAGGCAGTTTTCTGCTTCAGAGAAATTTTACAGTTTTTTTTTTCCTTTCTACCAGTATTTTTTTGGTCTTTTTTCCCCGTTTTCATTCTTAACAGCTCCCTATTCCTCCATTATAGCAGTCCTCCACTTCTCCCTCCATTATTTCCTTTCAGCACCCTCTACCCACCTGCTGAGAAAGTGACGCCCAGACACAAATGCCCCCTTATCCCGTCTTATTCTTTCCCTCCCTTTTCCCCGTCTGACCTTGTCTCAGTCTTTCGAATCTTCTTTTCTTCTTTCACCTTACTTTCTCACTCGAGTTTCACCGCTCTACCTTTCATCTTCTGTCCACTTCTTGGTTTCGGCTGTCATTTTGAATTTTCTTGCATTTTCCCCATTTCCTGTACCCCTCTCGGTATAATTTCCATCATTCTTAGTCATTCTAATTTACATAACACTATCTTTTTCCTGTTGCCATGCTTTCCAAGCTCTTTTTTTTCTGTATGACCTTTAAGAAAATTTGCATAGGGGACATATTTAGGGTTGCACAGTCAGTCAGTACCCATTTTTCATGGCGTTGGTCTTTGAGTAATGGTAAATACCTTCCCCTGGTCATTTGTCTGTTTCTTGTTCTTTTTGTTACACAAAGCAGCACTTTTATTGAGAAGGTTACACATGCAAAAATGACTAATCAGCATCTTGTTTCCATGCCTCAACTTGATCTAAACTCTATCTTTCTTCTCTTCTTGCTTATTGCAGCATCAGAGGGCTCAAAACGAATACAAGGTGAGATGTAAATTCTTGTAAAACATTTTATTTTATTTTATTTTTTTTGTAGGTTGTGGATCAGTGTAACATGTAAATTTCTATATTTTTCTGTATTGAGCTAAAACCTGCATGTCAAATTTGTGGATCCAAGGTAACTCGGAGATCCACAACTTGTTTGTAGAACCACAGGTCTGTTACAAACATGTTGTTCAGATGGCGCAGTCATTATGCTCTGGAGGTGCTTCACTTCAGCTGGGATAATGGAGGTGGTCGACGGTGATGGGAAGATGGATAGAACTAAATGCAGAACAATCCTGGGGGAAAACTCGTTTAAGGGGCAGCAAAAGATTTGAGTCTGCTGCGGAGGTTCACCTTCCAGCAGCATATCCAGATCCAAATGGGAATTCATTAGAAAGACTGGCTGCTCTCCACTTTACAATTATCCACTATATCAATGTTGGCAAGTTTCAATAACTATGCTGAGGTTTGTGGTTGTAAAATGACCAAATGTGGTGTAGATAAAGGCGTACGAATCACTTTTAAAGGCACTGTTAGTCATCTACTTGTTGAGCCCCAAAACGAATGCAGTCACATGGGAGCTCAGACATAAACTGGAGCGCCAGTGTGAAATGGTTAACAGACTGTGTTTAAATCAGTCACGTTTTCCAGCCAAAACACAAAACAGTGTTGTGCTTTAAATTGGTGTCAAGTTTAAACAGAATAATAATGAATAATAAGGTCCTGTGGCAAAAAAAAAAAAGGTCTATATGTGATTCCAAATCCCCAGACAGATTCAGAAGAAGGAAACTCGTATTCAAGCATTTTTGGTTGTACTTCTTACAGAAACAAATATTCATAATGTTCTCCTCTGCTCTAGGATCAAAACCTCGCAGCAGTGTCGTCTCACTGAGGACCACTTCTCTTCCACTCCTCATCTCCATCCTCTTACCGCTGATCACCTGACTCATCTGTCCTCAGTGCCTGCCTGTGCTCCATGGGTGCAATCTCTGGCATCTAAAGGAAAAATAAAACTGAGCTCACGGACAACAAATGGCAAAGTGCAATCTCTGCCGGACTAAGCCAGGCACATTAACGACTGTGGTTAGAAATCCAGGCAGGACGATGGTTTCTCCGGACCACAGTGACTCAGGGAAATGACGCCGAAGTGCAGCAAAGCATTTCTTCCCGTTTTCTTGCTCTACCTGTTGCCTGTCGTACAACTACTCAGATAAAATGTTCTCCATGCGGGAGCCATCTTAAGACTCCTATCTCACTTCGAAGCCAGAAGAACAATGAAAGAATCAGGACCTCCAGTGAAGTTTTTTATTTTTGTGTCTTGTTTTTTTTTATATATATATACATATTTTTTTATACTTCTTCTGTTGTTTACTTCTGTTTGAGTGGAAGCCTCCAGTTTAAAAAGCGGCCAAATAAACCTGCTAGAGTAAGGACTGGCTCAGGTTGGAGGTTTTCTGTTTCTTCTTTAATTTTCTGGACATGGACTCAAACTCGCACATTAATGCCTCATTATTATAATCACAGCAAAACAAATCTGCTCTACTTCCATCTCAAAGGAAAGGCATTTTGAATCTGGAAAGGGCAACTCTTGTGGAAAAGTGAGACTGGGCTCCTGCGCCCCCTGCTGGGATCAAACTGGTTTTTACTGGTTGAACTGGGCTGGACATACAAGAAGAGACTGGATGCCGGACTTTGGTTTTTACAGGAGTTGTTCCTCTTTGGGTAACCGGCTCTGCGTTAGGGTTACAACATGCTTTCTGTTTCAGAGCCACCGGAGAGAAAAACACGGATTTATGGGTGAACGGATCGGAGTCAGAAAGATAAACGGTGTGCACATCTGAGCTTTATGATTTTATTTTTATCGTCACATGATTTTTGGCTTCATGTGGGTAGTTGGTAAAATAGCATATTAGACCTATTTAAAAAAAATTATGTTGGGTCTATGTAAATCAGTTGTTTACTACAGTAACAATCAGTCTGTATAAGTTAATCGTAAAAATAACACAAACTTAATTTTTATGTGAGCAGAAAATGACAGATTTTCATACTTACAAATCACGGATATATCATTTTATATGCTGCGCTAAACTGAATTTGCCAAGTTATTAAGTTGATTATTAAATTTATATTCGCGTGTGAAAATTTTGGCAAGAATGAATGAATGAACTCAGGCTCCCGATATATTTTTACATTGAAATTGACGAGAACAGAGCTCTTTATTTTTCCTTAGGAGCTAATTATATAATTTGACGTTATTGCTACGTTATTGGATTGGCTTACTGTCGGAAAATGTAAACATATTTCATACATTTTGTTCTTGCTTTAAAAACATAATTGTTGGCACTTACTGTTCTTTTTTTTATGGTGAAATAATCTCATCATTTACATTTTTTTTTTTAGGTGTTTTATTCTTTCAAACAGTTGGGTCTCAAAATGTTATTATCTTTTCCTTTTTTTGTCAGGCTTACCCCCCCCCCCCCCCAAAAAAAAAAAAAAAAAAAAAAAAAAGGTCATCTATAATTTTTGTTTTTTTTCTTTCCTACGGTGTTTT